TGGGATCACGCCATGTTCTGCAGGTTATAAATCTGAACTGTTTTGATCCCTATTTAGTCAATCATTTGTATAATTATTAACAAAATTCATGTTTACTTTGAAAGTCAGTGATTATGATGAATCATGAAATACTGAACCTTGTTGCACAACTAGGAAATATTGGTGAACACAGTATAACTGAATGTCTTTTTTCTTTTTGCTCTTTGATTAACATATTGGTGGTCCATCTTAATGGGTTTCATTGTGATATTTCTATGCACACATTCAGGGTGTGTTGATTAAATGCAGTTTGTTCTTATCAACCCTTCTCCCATTCATTTGGCAGCCTCTATTAACTATGATCCTAATTTCCAGTCAATTTTCTTTAGTTTACACACATGAGAAAACATGCAGTCCTTATCTTTCTGTGTCCAGTTATTTCACTGAATAAAATGTCTTCCCTCGTTCCATCTATTTTGCTGCAAAGGACACTATTTCATTCTGTTTTATGTGTCTATGATATTAGAATGTGTATCTATGCCATRTTTTCCTTATCTGTTATCTGACAGTGGGCGTCTAAATTGATTTCTTATCTTAGCTATTKCAGGTAGTCCCATAATAAACATGGGCATGTGATAAACATCTCTTCATATACTGATTTCATTTTCTTTTATGTTTACTCACAGGTGAGATATCTACATTTTACAGCAGTAGATCAAGTATTTTTTTTTTTTGTTTTGGTTTTGAGAAACCTCTATACTGTTCTCTATAATGACCTTACTAATTTTAATTCCTACCACCAGTGTATAAGAAGTGAATTTCTCCCTCTGGGGAAGGGTGCAAGATGCAGGGATGGTAGTTCCTAGTCTCAGGTCTATCAGGAGCAGTCTCTGTGTCCTCGTCCTTTCCTGGACACTGCATCTCCAACTGTATGTTTTCAAAACATACAAGTCATGGAATATACTGAATTCCTCAAAGTCATAGATTCCGAATTGGCCTGAAGTGTGTCAATTTAGCATGACAAGTAATTTTCTTGCACAAAATTATTAGCTTAAGTATTTMTCAATCATAGCAGCACRTGAAAATATTTGTTCTTTCTTTTKTCTACYAGCTGRTAACKGGACAGCAACCTAGTACATTTAAATCATAATCTYCAGGGTGYTTMCTARAAAACAAGAAATATCAATAKTTTCTGTTTTATCTGTWATTGGAAGAAAGCCTCCTCGAGAGAGATGAAAGTCCACTCAGCTTACTGTTTGTTTATGTGTCAAAGAGTTACATATTGGATYAGCAGGAGACCATAAAAGTTTGGATAGCAAGGTCACAGTTATCTCAGTAGGAAGAGAAGACTCCAATGGATCCAGTGGTGGCCCTGGTCCTTGGTGTCTCCTGTCTGCTTCTCCTCTCAGTCTGGAGACACAGATCAGGGAGGGGGAAGCTCCCTCCTGGGCCCACTCCTCTCCCAATTATTGGAAATATCCTGCAGATAGATGTTAAGAACATCAGCAAGTCCTTAACGAATGTAAGTATGCTTTGTGCTTCTTCAGTGGCTTGTGAAGGCAAGTCAGTTGACCCCTGGTTATAAAGATAGTATACTTCTGGAGGCACAGTATTTTAACAGATGATTGTAAAAGAAACTACTCCCTGTAAACCTTGATGTCATGTGCCACATTAGCTCCATGTTTTATACAGGATTGCTATGAGTATAGAACTTCTCTGCAGAATCAACAATTATGCCTGAAAGCAAAGAAATAGYGTAAGGATTTCCTCAATAGCATGAGGTCAGATATAGCAAAGGGAATGAAAGAGACACAATGAGTCAGTGTCCAATTGATGATGTCAGAATCTTTGGGTTGCTGCAGTAATTCTTTGCTTGGGGCTGGGAATGGAGAAGGGTAGAAGAAATGGTTCTTCCAGTGGATGTTCATGTCTTGTTTCTGCCTCTGCACTGTGTACTCTGTGTAATAGCTGCAGACCCCAACCATGGCTGTGCATTAGGATCAAGCGTGCTAACTTAAATATACAACTTTCTAGGGGTCACCATAGGGCTATCAGCGTCTTCTGGAAAGAGCTTTGAATGTGATCCTGGGCAGTCTCTTGGGTATTGATTCCAAGGTGGGCAGAGGGATGCGATAAAGTGCTCGAGCATCAAATGTTGATTCAGTGACATTCCAATTTTGTCCTCTTATCTTAGCTCAGAACAGAGGAAATGAATTTGCATTCACTGATCTCATTTTCTTTGTTAATGAAACAGGGCAAATAAGACTGCTGAATGCATTGATGTGAGGATAAATTTTAATCTGTGTATGAAAAGCCTTGAAATTGTGTAGCACATCAGAAGTCATCCATCAATGGCAGCTATCAATCATTTACATATGAAATGCAGAAATATTTCCATCTCTATGGGGTAGAATAAAAACATAAAATGATGATGATGATATCAGCCAGAATCAGCATGATGCATGGTTTAGGTAGTGATTTGGTTTGCTAATATTTGCATTTTTCCCCATTTCCAGTTGTCAAAAGTCTATGGCCCTGTTTTCACCCTGTATTTGGGCATGAAGCCCATTGTGGTGTTGCATGGATATGAAGCTGTGAAGGAAGCCCTGGTTGATCATGGGGAGGAATTTGCTGGAAGAGACTCTTTCCCAATTTTTAAAACAAGTATGAAAAACTTTGGTAAGTGCACGTGCATGTGTGTGTTGTGCAGTGGTCATTGGGATGAGCAGCGTGAAGAAAAGAGACCAGAAGGGCTCCTGAGGCAGAGCTTGGCCATCCCTGTGTTGTCCCCCAGTATCTCCCCTGCCTTGTTGGGTCTCCCTTCTAATCTCTTTCCTCTACTTGTAGGTATCGTTTTTAGCAATGGAAAGACATGGAAGGAGATAAGACGCTTCTCCCTCATGACCCTGAGGAATTTTGGGATGGGGAAGAGAAGCATTGAGGACCGTGTTCAAGAGGAAGCCCGCTGCCTTGTGGAGGAGTTGAGGAAAACCAATGGTGGGTGCCTGTTTGTATCACTGACCTTAACAGAGTGCGCTCTTCTCTAGTGACCTTCTTGGAAGCATTTCAGTTGAGTGAGAGCTCTCATGATGGGCCCTGGTTGTGACCCCATGTGGGACAGGGATGGTTTTCAAAAGGGACAGGACATGTTTGTTTATCAGTGTTGCCTGGGTAGTGATGTGCTTTGGCCTGCAGTTGGGGAGTAAAAKTTCTTTTGATCTGTTTCTGTTCTGAATATTTTTATTTTTCTTTCCAATCAGAAATTATGAACTTAGTATGTGAGTGGGTTTTTTATTCCCTAAAGAGTTAAGGAGCAGTGTTTTCCCTTAGTGTAAATGAGGGCAACCTATTCCTTATCATGCCAGTAGAAAACCTTGGTGAATGATGGGGAGGCAGTGACCCCACCACTACTTCACAGATTCACAGCTCTTTGCCATTTGCTTTCCTTACGTTGGACGACACTTGTGTGAGCAGCTTCACCAACATGGCTCAGGATTTATTCCAGGTCCAGGCTGCAGCTTTGGCCAGTCATGGTGTAATGTATGTTTTTAATTGATTAGCTTTTTCTTCATAAAATTCTCATCAATTATTTCTCTCTAAATACAGAATGATTTTTTATAAATAATCACAAACTGCATCTTCTTACCCATATTTAGTGTTTTGATTTACATACTTTGGTTAAATATCTGTACTTCTACAAAGAACACAGACATTTATAAAATGATTTCTTTAACTAGATTTTGAAGACTATCAGTGTCTCCTTACATAGTCTCACCTAATAGAATGTTTACTCTGTTTTCAGTTTTCCATTTGTTTCTTCCCCTGTTCCTTGGATTTGGTGTTAGAAATTATGGTCCTTATTTTCCTCCTACTGCCAACTCTACTCACCTGTGAAGTGTCTGTCATCATGAATGTGATTATCAGCTTGGATACCAAATGACCTTGTTTTCATATTTTTTGTTTCAAATGAAATGGAAGAAAAGATTAAAAATTCAATTTTACCAGTGCACAACACACATGTATACACACTCCAAATTTCCAAGACTCTGCAAGTTACCTTCCACCTACATGGATGAAAATATCACATTTCTAAAAGTTTAGAGCCCTGCAATATTTAAAGATGCTTGCACACAGCATCTAACAGAAACTTTTTCTATTTTTCAAATGCCCTCCTATTTTTTTAAAATGGCTTTGATTCTTGTCTCCCTTATTTAAGGTCCACAGGTATGAATTTGCGAGCTCATACATATAAATTGATACCTATTATTTGATTATAGCAATTTATCTTACAGATTCCCCACAAAAAGGAACACTTCCTATATTTTGATTTCATTTCCTATAAAATAATATACTTAATGTATGAGATGGACAGATTTCAAAATGATTAAAATATACCATTCTTTTCTTTCTTTTTTAATTTTGATAGACCTTTATGTATTTATGTGCAGTTCTGAGAATAGAACCCAGTGCCTCACACATGCTATGCAAGTGCTCTACCACTGAGCCACAGTAAAATTCACTTTTTAAACTTTTAAATGAGAAATAATATGTGTCTATTAGTTTTACATTTTTGATTGCCTTACCTGGGGTTTATATTTTGAATAAAAGTTGTTTATTTTAGCAAAGAAATCCAATCCACTTACTGATATTACACTTTCTTCTCAAAGATCACACACATTTTGCTTTTCTCATTTTTTCCTCTATATGCATGAACTCACCCACAATCTCACTTTAGTTCCTCTCCACTGGTTCAACACAGAATTCTTTCTTCCATTCATTACACATAAAAAAGTTTCCAGGCCCACAGCATAGCCTCCTTCTCTATCTAATTGCTGTATTTTCCATAGGCTTTACAGACAGATGTGATTATGTTCTGAATACTTGAATTATTATGTTTAAGATGGTCTTTTGCCTTTAAGAATTAGCCCTTGGCTGGGCATGGTTGGGCAAGCTTGTAATGGCAGTGACTTGAAAGGCTGAAACAGGATGATGGCTAGTTCAAGGCCAGCGGCAAGTTAGGAGACCCTAAGAAACTTAGCAAGACCCTGTCTAAAAATATAAAAGAAAAAAGGGTTGGGGACCTAGTTCAGTGCTAAAGTGCCCTTGGGTTCAATACTCAGTCCAAAAAACCCCAAGGGCTAAAGAGGTGTAAGGAAAAGCAGTGGATGTGAACTAAGTATTGTAAACTCCATTATTTAACATGCTAGGTTTTCAGGGTATACTCAGAGTTAGGTAAAAGTGATTCTTTGTTCTTTTTGGTACTGAAGATTGAACTTGGGGCACTTTACCAGTGAGCCATATCTCCAGCCCCTTTCATGTTTTACTTTGAAACAGGGTCTTGCTAATTYTTAGGGCCTCGTTAAGTCCTTAGAGCCTCACTAAGTTGCTGAGGCTGGCCTCAAACTTGAAATCCTCCTCCCTCATCTTTTAACACCTCTGGGATTACAGGCATGTGCTATTGCACTTGGCAATTCTTTTTTTTTAATGCATGTGAATATTTTGCTGTCAATTGCTCTGTGTACAATATACTGTTTAAAATGTGTACATCGTATATACCTGGGTTTCTGTTCTGGATGCTGGACTTGTTAAGTAGAAAGTTAAGTCTTTTTTTAATATTTATTTTTTAGTTTTATGTGGACACAATATCTTTATTTTATCTCTATGTGGTGCTGAGCATCGAACCCAGTGCCTCCTAAATGCTAGGCGAACACTCTACCATGGAGCCACAACCCCAGCCCCAGAAAGATAAGTCTTTATCTTCCCAAATAGCAGAATGTTTCAGTATAAAGTGTGTAAGTCAAGGCAGTGGATATGASCTGAGTATATTAAACTCATTTATTTAGGCAACAAGGCTATAACAGCCAATTTTAAAGATATTTTAAAATCATTTCCAATTCTTTTTTATTGAAATATTTTTATTAATTTTTTTGATAGTTGTCCTTTTAAGTTATACATGATCATAGAATGTATTTTGACTCATTTTCAATTCTTTAGGCTCACCCTGTGATCCCACATTCATCCTGGGCTGTGCTCCTTGCAATGTGATCTGCTCCATTATTTTCAAGAACCGGTTTGACTACCAAGATCCAGATTTTCTCACCTTGGTGAACAAGTTCAATGAAAATGTCAGGATTATGAGCTCTGCATGGGCGCAAGTGAGGCCAAGATCCATTATCCCATAGAAACACTTTAGTCTTTTTTCTTTAGAGACATCCAAAATAGTATATGGTGCTTGAGGTGATGTGATTGCTTGGATTGTACTGTCTTGCCTAGAGCCATGGAGCAAATATCTGAGAAAGCTTTTGAATTCTTTATTTGGCATGCAGGAATATGAAGGTGCACGTATAGAGCTGGGTTTTAGCCCACTCCAGTGAGTGGATATTTCTTTACATATCAAAAGCCTTGTTTTTGTAAGGCTCTTGGTGACTGCCAAAGGGATGACCATGCCACTCCGTGGACATCTAGGACTTTTGGAAAGCTCCCATTGCCCACAAGGCTCACCCATCAATCAACACTTGGAGGACTTTTCATCCCAACATGTGGCAGGAATATGTCAATTCAGAAAAAGTATATTTTCTGCAAGTAAAGAAAATAATAGGGACAATGAAACTTTGAGGAATCACTGAGTGGGGTAGGGGTTTTGATGTGTAGCTCCTATCCTAGCTAAAAAGATCACTGGGTTAGGAGAGACTGCTCTAGAGGACAGTTGGGCTCCATGTATTTTTGGGCCACCTCATTCCTCATCTGAAGCTGGTTGACAGAAATAAAAAAGCAGGGACTAATGTTGTGTTCTAAATCAATGTTCCCCATATCCCTTAATGTCTTTTGTTATCTATGAAATGTGAATCACATTAATTCATGCTGTCATATTTCATGTTTTGGGGAAAATTGATGTAGTAAAGAAGTGAAGTTGTATAAAATTAAGTTTTAGAATAAAGAAGTTTTATAAATTTCAGGAATGATTATCCCTTGTGATGCTCCAGTAAGAAAATTCTCCCATAAATCATTCTATAAGAATGATTGAATTATATATTTTTCAGTAACAATGACACCTCAAGATAGAHCCAAATTYTATTTACAWATAGAGCAATAAGTTCTTATSAGAGCTGGCAACATGTCACCTATGTGTTAATTAAGTACTTTTTATAAATATATTATTGTTTTCTCTTRTAGGTCTACAATAATTTCCCTGCTCTCTTTGATTATCTGCCAGGGAGTCATCACATTTTATCCAAAAATATTGATTATATGATAAATTATATTATGGAGAAAGTAAAAGAACATGAAGAATCCCTGGATGTTAATGATCCTCGAGACTTCATTGACTGTTTCCTGATAAAAATGGCTCAGGTACAGTGTTGCCATCAGCCTAGTTTTTTGATTCCTTGATCATGTTGTGGTTTTCTGAACCCTTTTACATTTGTGGAAATGTTACATGATCAGGACAATAGTCATTCTGAAGCACTTTGATGACCCAGTGTATCATGAATCTCCAGGAAGCATCATGGAAAATATGCAATTATTAAATAATTAGAATATGCTGACTCTATTCTTTAGATAAAAATCTATGTGAGGAGAAAGAATGCACACCTAGGTGATTGAGAGAGTTAATAAATACACAAATTGTTAGTTAGACTGACTCAAAGAAAGAAGAGATGACATAAATTAATAATGAAACAAAAGGAAGGTTGTGGCTGCCAAAGAGACAATTTCCAATCAAGCTATAACACATGAAATACCATGCCATGACATGAGGATGGAGTTCATCACTGCAAAGGTTTGGTGACATGGAAAGGAGCAGCTTACCCCAGGTACACCACCTGCATGTCCTGTGGACTGAAGCAGACCTTGACATGTGCAGCGTGGACAGCAGAGCAAATTGCAGATGGGTTGAGTCTTGTAGGTGGTGGTGTGGGCAAGAGTAGGTGCAGAGATGAGAGAAGCCTTGTTGAATGCAGCTCTAAATGAAGTCACATAGAACACAGAGTTAGAGATGGTGTCTGTCAGGGACCCTGCAAGCAGGAATGTGTTGTCACTGCAGCATGAGTTAAAAGGTTATTTATTCCCATTGAATTTCGTTGGCACCCTGTCAACGATCAGTTGTCTATAAATGTGAGGCTTTGTATGTGGACTCTCATGCTGCTCCATGGTGGGTATGTCCACCCTATGCCAGGAGGTTCAGCATCCTGACGTCTTGTCCCCTTCAGTATTTCTGTGTTTCATGTTTTGAAATAGGAATGCGAGTTCTCCAACTGTGTTGTTGGTGTTCAGGACTTTTAGGCAATTCTAGGTTCCTTGAATTTCCATATCAATTTCAAGATGAGATAGTCAGTTTCACCAAAAACCAGTGTGGAATTCTGACATGAATTGTAATAAATTTGTGTTTCATCATTGTCACTTAGAAAATTGAGATGAAATTAACATACCATACAGTGAACYTTCTTGAAGTTAACTTTATTGGTATTTATGGCTTTTCTGTGTTCTGTGATTGTATCTGTATCCAGTTTTCAAAACCTATTCATTTTTTCTCAAATGTATATGCACCATGAAATGAACACACCCCTCTTCCACATCCCTGCACTCTGATTTCTGTCTGCATGGATCTGCCTGTCGTGGATAAATAATGAAAGACCTTGTGGCACATGCAACCTTTTGTTTCTGGCTTCTTTTATTCTATAGAATGCATTGGAGACTCATCTAAGTTGTAGCAAGTATCACCATTKTGCTCTTTTGTGTGGCTGAGTGCTTGTCTTTTTTACTAGTGTCCATACTATGATTAAAATTTTTGATAGAATTCACCAGTATATCACACAAATCCACCTTTCTCTTGGGAGGATTTTGATTACAAATTGTCTATGTTAAGTTGTTGCAGTTGATCATGTTTTGCATACTGACCTTGAATCAGTGTTTGTAATTTGTGTTTCTATTAAATTTTTCTGTTATTCAGATTTCTTATTTGCTGTTGTACAGTAATTTAAGGTAATCTTTTGTTGCCATTTTTATTTCTGTAAAATCAGTAGTTTCCTGCTGTCATGTCTGAATTTAGTGGTTGTGTCTTCTCTTTATTTGTGCTTAGTCCAGCTAATGATTTGGGACCTTTGCCTACAGTTTCTGAGAAGCAGTATTTGGTTTGAGTGAGTGTTCAGCTGTTTTCCCACTCTGTTTTTCATTTCTGTGGGCTTTGCATTCAGCCTTCTCTTATCTTCCTAGTCCCAGGTTGAGAAGTTACATTGTACTTGAGCTCTTGTCTTCCCTTTCATTGTAAGTTCTGCCCCTCTAAGTTTCCCACTAAGAATTGTTTTTTTGCTTCCTGCCAGTGTTTTGTTGTATTGTATTTTGTTTCCTTTGCATCTCAGTCCTATCTAGTTTTCCTAGTGATTCCCTCCTTAACCCATTAGTTGTAGAAGAGCATATTGTGTAATGGAAGATTTCCCTTCTCTCCTTGAATTCTAGTTGCATTCCATTCTGATAAGGGAAGATCCTTTCTATGATTTTGTGTTTTTAAAATTTATCGAGAATTGTGTATGTCCCACCACCTGGACTTTCCTGGAGAATAGAAGGGTTTATGTTCTCTTGAGAAGAATGCATATTCTTCTAGTTTATCTTCATTTGTCAATGTTTACCTCATACAAGTTGAGCTCTATTGATGGATGGATATGCATGTGCACAATAGTATTACATATTTTTAATAATGTCTTAACTGATCAACATTTTTCTATTGAAACTTTTAAATTTCCTCTCTTTTTCTTTGTTTTTAATTTTTTTCTTATTGCTTATCATGTGGTTTTCTCTTAACATAGTCAATGTTAATAGTCCAGGTTGAGTTAATTCTAAGCTTCAAATTGCATAGAGATAGTCTACTCCCATGCAAACTCATCTCTTTTTTTCTTGTTATTAGTCACAATCTATATCTTTAAATATGTTCCCAGTTTTTAAAAAAAAGAGTTGTTTTTTTGCATATTTCTTTATTATAGAAACTCAAAGAACTACATAGAAATAAAAGAGTATCAGAGCATATTTTCTATTAAACCATGTAGTTATTATTAATAATGATAATTATTTCTTAATATGGCCTTGGTTTATTATCTAGTGTTCTTTTGCTTTTTATTTTCTCCCATATTTTATTGTTGCATAATGTTGTATTTAATGGTGGGATTCATTTTTTCATATATGCACATGCACACAGTATAACATTATGATTTGGCCAATAACATTCTCTAGTATTTCCCCTTTTCCTCCCCTCTTCCCTCCCCGAGATCACTTTCCTCTACTATACTGATATCCCTTCCATTTTCATGAGATCCTACCACAACATGTTTTCCTTTTTCCATGTAGCTTTCACATATGACTGAAAACACATGACACTCAATTCTCTGATGCTGTATATAAGAATAGCAATTTCTGCATGTTTTTATGCTCTATTTGCATGGTATTTCCATCTTTTCACATTCAGCCTGTGAATGTCTTTGCCTATAATTGGAGTCTCTTGCAAATCATATATAATTTGATATTTTTTTGAAAATCCATTCTGGCAGCCTATGTGTTTTTATTAGGGGAGTTGAGACCATTTACATTGAATATTATTGTATAGAGTTGAGTATTCATTGCTGGAATTTTGCTTTATTTATAATGTTTAATTTAGTCCTTTTCCACATTTGCTTAGCGTATCTTCAAATGAAATTTATTCTTTTGTGAGACTTGGATTTTTTTGTATAGTATTTCTTTCTGTATTTTTACTAGTAACAGCTTAGTAATCATGATTTTTTTTAGTTTCTGCTTATCTCAGAAGGTTTTTATTCTGCTAAAATTCTGCTGGATAGTTTTTCTAAATGTAGCAATATTGGTTGACAGTTATTTTCTCTCAGGCACTTGGAACACATCATTCCAAGTCCTTCTGTATTTTAGAGTGTGACCTCAGAAATTAAAAGTAACTCTGATTGCCTTTCTTCTAAATGTGACATGAATTTTTTTTCTTTAGTGTTTTTAACATTCTATCCTTGGTCTATATGATAGCTGTTTTCATTATAATGTTTTGTGGAGAGTTTCTTTTTTCAATCTTGTATATTTTGGTTTCCAAATGTATCCTGTGTCTTGATGGCCAACTTGCTCTCTGCAATAGGAAAAATTTGTTATTATTTACCTGAAAAGGCTATCAATTCCATTAGCCCACAGTTCTCACTCCTCTTCAATTCTAATGATTCTTAAATTTGGTTTCTTAGAGTTGTTCCAGAGTTTTTGTATATTCTGGTCATGGCTACTTCTTTTCTTTAACAATGTTTGAATTTTCAAGACTGACCATTTTTTTCAGCATCTGTCTTCAGCATCATTTACTCTATAGAGAGACAGCAGGCACCAATTTTACTACTGTCTGCTTTTGCTTTGATTATTGCTATGTTTGTTTCCCTCTTTACTGTGAGATTATGGTAATCTACAGGGAAGTAGAAACTTATGGGATATAAATTCTGCTGGTGAACTAAACCTGATGATGAAAAGGCACTTTCCTGTATGCATAAATTACCAGAGTTCATCTCTAGTTTATTACAATAAATAGAAGAGAAAAACCAGTAATAGCCCTAAGTAGGAACGGCTAATGGTGGGCCTTTAGGTCCCACTCATAGAAATTCATTTCTACAGCAAAAGCAGTGAATTAACATAAAGTTTGTTTATATCCCAACTGTGAGGGGGTCTGAATCTCAAGAAGTCCAGGACACTTTGGCAAGAGAAGACTGTGCCTTAAAAAGGCCTACACATAAGAGTGGTAAAGAAATCCACTTGAACAGATGCATACAACAACACAAAAATACAAGATATATGAAAATACAAGGTAACACATAGCTCAAAAAGTTCATAATTCACTAGTTACTGACCCCAAAGATACTAAATTGGATGAAATATTTAATAAATAAATAAAATGAATGACTATAATTTGATTAGTCAATACCAAGAAAATGTAGAAAAACAGCTGTATGAATTAAGGAAGTCAGTAGAGGATGTGAATAAAAAATTTATGTAATTTATTGTTGAGGATTGGAATTTACCATTGCAATTGGTTGACTCATTAATCAAGAGCATTTTTCTGTTATAGCAATTGCTGAATAGCATGATGAAGGCTACAGAAATTAATTTACTTGATAGTTGTTCCAAATAATTTTTGCAAAATCTATATTTCTGGAGACAATTAATCACATTTCTGTTATGTCAGAAGCAGTAAAAGAAGGGTGATGGTGATTTCCCTAAGTCCTGTGATCCAATAAGTAAACAAGAGGAAATCATTGTTTAAATTCTTCATGTATTGCCAGTGGGGATGTCACTGGAGCCCATAATGTTTGAAGCAGTGGCCAGGCTCTGTGTGGACCATCAACAATCAAAAGATGCAACA